ACAAAAGATATAACCTCACCGATCTATCAGAAAGTAGTACCGGATTTAGATTCTGCCCATTCTCCCATTCTCATATCGTTGGGTACCCCAACACACTCTTTAGAGAAAACCTGCTTTGATTTGTCAGCTTAGGCTTTGAATAAAAGTGATAGGTGAGATAGGTTATGTGATTGGTTTGATGTATAATTGGGTGTATGAATAATTACTTGTGTTTTTTTTGACAAGAAATCTGGAGTGGTAGATCTTAGAAATGTGTTTTGCATGACATCGTGTGAATAATGTATGTAGCAATTTGTGCATAGAGGACACGCATACAAGAGGAGGACTCTGATGATTGTATGATGGCGTTGATTAGTGTTAATTGTAGTCTTGTATTAATTTAATGGTCTCTTCTCCTTCATATTTTTTTACTTATAGTCTTTTTACCTAACATTATATTTATTCTTAATGAATGAGAGTGTAATATGGTTTTAATGTGAATATTTTTGCAGTGGATATATTAGGATTGATTTTAATCTTCCATTTTGAGCACCATCACCAAAAAAATGTGTGCAGTATGTTTTACTGCATATTATCCCGCATGTGTCCCACATGTTCCCCCAACTGCTCCCAACAGTTTCCCGCACATGCTAATGTGGAAATTGAACTGCAAATTCAACAATGCAATTTTTTAATTATGAAATTCTACTATATACTTCGTAGGGGCGAGTAGTGCAGAGTGTAACTCCGTAGGTATAATTTTTCAATATTTTGACCTCGTTGAATTGCTATAATTAAATAAAATGTGAAATGCGCGTCAATGAGAATGTGTATGCACATTTAAATGTATCTTTGAATTTTCTAATAACACTAATTATATAAAAATCTACGAAAATCACAATTATGTTTTAAAGAATAATACGGAAAAATCCCTTTTCCCTTCTTCCAAATTAGAGAATGTTGAAACATTTCTCGGATTGGTCACGTGGGATTCCGCGCTATTGAAATGAATTTAAACTAAGCAAACGCAATTTGAACTTACGCCTCCCCATGCTCTAAAGATGACCACAACGTATTTTCTGCATTGACAGGTAGTAACCGCATGCGCCTTAAGACTTCCTGTTAATGAAGTGCATGTTTTATCACGGGAATTGGCGGTAGTGGCGGGAATGTGTGGTCGTGTATGGCGTATAAGTGAAAGTAAGAGGTGAGGATGGTACGAGGAAGAGGAAGGAAAGATCGCGCGCGGTACATAACCAGTTTGTTGGAGTAGCGCTCCGGCATTCACCTGGTGTTGATCGGAGAAACCATGGAAAACTACGGATCAGAGAAGTCGGTCGCTAGAATGTTCCTTCAGACAGCGGCGGAATTCGACGTAGCTTTCTAATTAGTGTCTAATATCCTGCCACCGTAGGGGCTTGAACCTTAGGACCTTCGATCCACAGGCGTGTCTACGGTATGACAGACATGGCACGTGCCATGGGCACCTCTCACAAGGGGCGCTAACACACTAAAACAAATAGTGTAAACAAAGCGAGTCCGGTCGGAGGCATTGCAGTGACATCAGTTGATGCCCTGAGCTACCTAAACCGGTCTTTTTGGCTGGAGACAGCCCTACGCTGATTCTGCGGGCGTGGGCTTTTAAAAACGGATATCGCTACGATTCACAAACTTTCAACCTTTTTTCCCTTTAGAACGCATTTACATGTTTGTCCCCACGACATACATTATTGCTTGAGTAAGTCTCTTGAAGACACTTAGACGCCCCTCTTCGTTATGAAAGGTGACGTGAATGTTGTACCTTTGGATTGGTGTGATTTTCAACGAATTAATCAACGATACATCGTTTTTACGTATTGAGGCTCAGACCATCAGGCCTGCTCTTCCTCTTGATCACACAAATTTCGCTACGCACCTTTCGCCATCCAGCGGCGAAAGTAAGTATTATTCGGTTGAAGTAACAGGCGATTTGAATTTATCTCAGATGATTCTTTTAGTCTTGAAGATCTTTTACATGCAGTAAATCAACGACATGAGTCACCCGACTTTACTTCCCTTCCGAAGGAAGGCGTACGAAGGAATTTTTCGCCCTTAAAAATCCACGGTTTCGGTCGCTTTTGAACCTGCGAACCGTTACACCAACGAAGCGACTAGTGTCACTTGTGCCATCTGCGCTTTTAGCACAGAACTTTAATATATGACCAGAGATAAGATACATATCGTCACGTTTGTACTCGGGCTAAAATTGTAGTTGGTATTGCACTGGTGCCTTGTGTAATTTCCTAGGAAATTATGACCCTAAAGCAGGAGGAAACCGTTTATTGGGAAGAAGATTGTGAATATGTATTATTTTGTTTTGTGTGTGCGTATGCGTGTGTACAATACGCTATCGTATATGCAAATATTCTTGAAATGCCTTGAAATATTCTTGAGTTGGTCAAAACGATGAACAAGTTAAAGTTGCATTTTCAGTCTACCACGGGAATAAAGAAAACTATAATTGACATGCATTAAAAATTATTTATGTGTATCTGGAAATATAAGTATGATTTCATCTGCGTTAATAAGCTTAATGTGAGACTTTCCGAATATATATTTTTGCAAGATCTGTTAATTCATAAAATGTACATTCTCTATTTTGAGAATGGAGATATAAGCCAAGTTACACTCTTATTCACCTTCTGTTTATGTACAATATTAGGATGACCGCAAGGTAAAAACCACAGAACTCGCTTCAGCAGGAATTTAGACTTGCATGGATCGAAGAGGATAGTTAAGAGATTTTATCGCGATTGGAAACACTTCAAAGGGACTAGTGCGTTCACAGCACCGCTCCAGAATGGCTGACTTCCGTTGTCACTCAAGTGTTCCTGGACTTCCCTCCAAAATTGATTAATAGTCAGCCTGACTTTCGGCTCGCCGCTGCTGACTTCAGTCGCTCACGACCATGGTATTTAATTTATTGTTAAGGATTTAAAAATATGAATTTGGAAAGAAATTAAACTTTTAAACTTGATTTAAAATGTTCACTTGAGATATTTATTCACTCACGTCAACGGAAAATTATTGCTGAATTACCTAAGCATATCGATTAAATAAAGTGGGAGATTTCTTTCTCCTTGCACGGTTTCCGTCCGCGAAAAATAAGCATTTTCGAACGAAATTACGAACAATAATGTATTTTCGTATTTTTTAAAATAAACTGCAGTAACATGGTAAATGCTATCTTTTTCAATTCGTGCTGTTATTTTGCTTCATTGGCCCCACCATACTCGAATATTCTTTTTTTAGAGAGCTCCAAAGTCACATATTAATATTTTATATTTCCAACCTCGAAATTATGTATCGTATTTTTTATACCTATGAGACTCGATCTTAGGCCTGAAAGTAATTTGAACATTGTAAACTATTTTTAACAAGATTTCTGAGACTGATGAACTCGTTTTCCTGATTTTACTGATATTATTTGTTTTCCAAATTTATCCAGAGCGCTCATGTTTACATTTATATAATCCCATTATCGTGAAACATAAATTCGATGAAAAAACATGAAATTATTACACCATATTTTGATAGATTAAATTATTATTGTCAATTAACCGTGTCTTAACAAATTAATGAATTGAAGTAGTGCCATTTACAAGTTTCACATCAAACTTGAATATTATCATCCTTATTTTGAGATGATTTGCATTTTGTAACATTTAATGATCTTCCCCCAAACTACGCCTTTAAAAGGGTTGAAATGTGAAGTAAATTGCAAATTTCATTTTTCCCTAAATGTTTCATAATTTTGTACCATGACGATATAAAGAAAAGTCATTAAAATATTCATTCTTAAATTTATATTACTTAAACATTTTAAAACAGATAATTAAAATAGTATTTCGGAACAAAACTATTGTTAAGTACCTTAAACTAGCCGGCATTTTTTCCTTCAGAAATAGTGATTTTAGAATGATACGCTTGCTTCATTTCTGGTGAGCACGCGCGCGCGTATATATCGCGCTGAACTGACTACTTGTCGTTGTAGCACCAGGAAAGTGGTCCGTAAGCAGCAATGCAACGAAGATGCATATCCGCTCTCGAGGGCTAAAGGGAAGAGTTACAATTCTGCCTTCGTTTCTCTAGATAGATTTGAGATTTAGGAATATCGTTGTATTAATAACTTATTTTTAACAAAAAGTTGTGTCTTGAAAGGAGTGATAAGACGTTACACATTATACACCCTGTCCTAATTAGTTTTCTCAATCGATTCTTCGAAATTGAAATAATTCATCAAAACATCCGTTTGGAAGTATCTCATTATTCGTTAAGAAAATAATACACAAAGGACCTAAGAAAACCATAAGGAATTTCATCATTATTTAATTCATTGACCTACAGCATTTGTATTTTATGAGATCAGAAACGTTTTCTAACTGTGCCCACTATCGCTTCCATTAGAATCTTACACGATAGGTATTCTCCCTAGGGTCGAAGTAATATCTGAAAGGGACTTCCTGTGGAGTCCCCTATTCAATATTGAAATTATAATAACCAAAATCGATATGAAAATATCAGGATAGCCTTTTAATTTACTTATTTCAGTACTGAATGCAATATATACACATAAATGTCCTTTAAAAGAAAATTTCGCCTACATTTTTGAGCGGCAAATTTTAAGAAAAACTTCAACTCTACCTTTAAATGTGAATTAAAAGCATAATTTTTATACATCGTTAATAAAATACTAGTTAAAAGTTATTACCCTTTTTACATACAAAAAGACAATCCGTTGAAAAAAAATATTGAGGGACCTTATCTAGCCCGTACTTGGCTTAGAAATTAATTAACCCCTGCTTCTCCCTGGGTTGGTAACGTAAGCCTACAATTACTAGTTACATCATTCAGATCTAAGCAACTGTCAGTTTCCACATGATTGGAATAAGCAACACGAAAGATAGTATTCGGTGCTGCAATGTGTCAGGGTCACAAAGCCGGGACCCCATGGGCCGAAGGCTCTGCGCCGTAGTCGGTGCGGATGCTCGGCGCGCGGCGAAGGCTGTGGCCGAGGAGGGGATGAGGAGCCGGCGTGGAGGGGGGCGCTGCACACAAAAGCACCGAGTCTGTGTTGCCTGCGTTCAGTCAGTGTTGTGTTGTCAAGTTGCGTACGCGGCTATCCATGGAAGAACCGGCGTTGGATTGCCGTGTGCCGCGATCGCCCCGACTTAACCTGATTTTCTGGACGAGTTGAGCCTTTGCCAAACTCTTCGAAGTCCACGAGCTCGTGCCGGCGAGTTCTGCGCGCGTGCGGATCAAGACTGATATTTATTTCCTACTAATTTATAAGGTAAGTGAAGTTTCATTTCAACTTCGAATTAATTGTGAAGTGGCTAGAGATAAGTTATAAAATAGTTTTAAAAAATGCAGATGTCGGATTAATTAGTATTTTCCAACTCTCCTTGAGTTTTTCTATCAGGCATTTTAAAAGTAGATTTGTGCCCAGAGCCCTCGTAAAGATTCGAAATCGCAGCTTCTTCACTTGGACGTGCGTGAGTGATGTCGCTCCCGCGCCCAGCGGAAAACTTAATTTGGTACAATTGACACTTGATGAGATGCTAGTGGTGAGAGTTTGCTACCCCATGCTGTCGCGTGGAACATGCTGGAAGATCCTTCATTGGACTCAAAATTCTTCGTAGAATAAATTTTCTGTCCGTTCTGACTTCACTGTGTTGAGCAATAGCTATTACTCCAAAGAAAGACCTATGGTACTTTTTTTTATTCGTAAAATTAAATTATTTTCCCGAAGGACTTCCCATTCTTGACATAGTATTTTTTTTACCCTTAATTCTAAATTGACGATTAATTTTATTAGTGGACTCTATTTAATCATTAAATATTTATTGCATGTCCCTTTTTACCTCAAATAAGATTTTTGATTTGTAATTTACGCCTTTTCGGTTATCATTTTTCTATGCAGTTGTAGTTTGTCGTGAGTTATGCTGCTATAAAATCTCGGTGTCAACACTTGTGGCTGTGGCCTTGTTATAAATTCTTTAGATGAGAGAAATTTTGAAAATGAAATTATATTTTTGTTAAAATGTAATAAACTATTAATTTCCAATTAAACACTAAGCTATGAAATTCCATTCAAGATTGCATTCGCAATTTTAGGTGGAATTAGGTAGAAACGGGACCATTGAAAGGAAGCGAGAATCTTACTGAGACGCTGTTCTTTTCTCTGGTCTAACTTTCGCCGTGCAAATACGTAATCATTTACATAGTTGAAAGGGACAGGACGTTTCGCCGGTAACACTGGTTTTGTATCCTCCCTCTCGTCATACTTATTCAATTATTCATTTGTTTCGCGAACTCACGGGTCACTATTTCCTGCGACACATGTTCAGGGAGTTACAGGGAGCCAATCGCTATTACCGCGCGAAATTCGAATGACATGCGAGGCGAGACGTGATCACTTAATTGTTAAAATTTTTTGTATTGTATATATTTGAAAATATAAACATTACTTTGTAAAGTCATGTTATTTGTGTATACATATTTGAGTATTTAAGTATGATCCTCTTTTTGATTCACAGGATGGTGGCGGCAACGAGTTTGCTGTCTCAACACATTAAAACTGAAGGAGATCTTGCAAAGAGGCCTGTGTCTTGGAGGTTCCCTGAATCTGGTAATTTTTTCTGCTTTATTTAGAAAAGCTGATATAATTTTCTATGTTATTTATATTTTAAAATTGAGGGAAATGTAGAATGGAAATGAGAATGAAAGAAATTTCAATTTTTGAGATAACTTGTAATGAATTATAAAATGCTACTGGATTTGGAATTCATAAGGACAGTAATAAAAGGATTTGGAAAGAGCAATTTGGTAGTATGGAACAAGCAAGAGAAAAAATTGAGCTGGAAAATCATATTAGTAACTACGGCTTTCTCATTCTATTATTTTCTGGAACTATCCATCTATGGGGGAAAAACTGTCATTGTTTATGAAGAATTTAGTTTTGGTTCTTTTAATATATAATAAGATGTATAGTATCATAATTTAGTTTAAATATTTTTTAATTTTTATGTATACACTCCAACCAACTCCCCCCACCCCAATCTCAAAAACCTAAGTGATTGGTCTATTGAAAGAAGTTGCATATTAAGAACAAGATACCAAAAATACCTCTTCTTCAATTTTCAGGAGCCAAAGGAAAGATGCTGAAGCGTGATCGCCGTGACTACTTCATGCGGAGTGCCTCTCTGGATAGATTACGTCAATTTCCTGCATACCTTTGTACTCGTAGCTCCTCTGCTTTTCCAAATGTACTATTGTTTCTGAATACTGCAATAACAGCAGTTCAAGCTGCCCTGAAAAATGGGGTAGCACTTGTGCAGAGGTATTATCTCGTGGGCACAGTTGTTGCTGCTCTGATAATTGTTGGATTGCAATTGGTGCTTTGCAGCATTGTTCTCTTCCTTGGCAACAAACCACCAGGGCTTCTATTTATGGTAGCAAGTCTTTTGCTGATGGCTGTGATTGCCTACAGAACCTTCGTCCATAGAATGCCACGAAGCAGATTCCACAAATTCAAGCGAAGTTGAATTTGTTGCAATTTTCCTCCAAGTACCTTGAAGACATTCTGAATAAAAATCATTTTGATAATTATTATTCAGGCACTGTGAAATGTAAACAGTTTACTAGTACTTTATGTATCATAAACTTTAGAGTTGAAAGTTCATAACTGAAAGTTCTAACAAAAGATATCGATGTCTCATTACTGCATAAGAGTTCTTGAAGAATTCATATTGCATAGTGTTTAAGTGGGAGATATTTTTGAATATGGAGTGTAGAAAATTTTAGAAAAAATTGTTAAAGAATGATAATAAATGTTTCAATGAAAGTATTCTTGATGTTAATTTAATAACACGAAATATCTTGCACTGATCATTGTTGGTGTATTTATTATGAAGAACCCAAACATATAAATGCATTGTGATGTGTAAATAATTTTATAGACATGTACTGTATTATTTTGTATAAAACATTTTAGAAATGACTCGGTAGTTACTTGTGGATTCATATTAACCTTCCCTCCTCACAAAATAAGATCGTGGATGTCTGGTGGAAATAAAAATGCAGCTCTGGAGAAAATATGCAAAACTATAATTAGCAAATTTCACTTTTTTAAATACATTTGCTTTAAAAGATTAATTGAATTTAAGAGATTTTTCTCTTTAAAACTTAATATCATTGCTTGTTATCCATTTGATAGATACACATATTTGAATTCATTTTTCCTTCTAAAGAAGAAAACCAATGTGCAACACTGACGGACATGAAATATTCCTTAAAGATTACAAAAAGATTACAAAATATTGATCTGTGTTGCTGAGACAGCAGTTTTCAACTGAAAAAGCTTTTGCTTTGGAGAAAAAAACTTTTTTAAATCTTGAATTTCTGTGCCTCTTTTGGATTGATTTTGACAAATTGTCAGTGAAATGAATAATACAATACTAGACAATTGTTTTATAATTGGACATCTTGACATTTCATTCCTTTGGGATGGGATCTTCAATTGTAACATAACTCAATGAAAACCTAGATAATGCAAGATGAATAAGCTAAACTGCATATTTATACAAATGTACTACAATAACAAAGAAAAATCTAATGTTAAAAGATTTAACTTGTGTGAATTGTTTTGTTTTTTTATTACTCCGTCAATGAGAACATTAATTTCCTGTAAAATATCAGTAACTAATATCATTACAGACTAGCCTCTTTTTTTCAAATGCTGCAGGAACGTATAAAGGCTCTTTGCTTAGGACAACCATGTATTCTGGAAGCAACTGTATTCCCTCACTGGGCAGTCTATGCCAAGCCTATCACCATAATATCTTGGGAAATTTCTTTATATGGTTTACTTAAAGTTGTGTTATCAATTTGTAGCTGTCTAAGATTTAAGGAAACAAACATAAATGTACTTTCACTTTATAGATTTATTTATGAGACTATAGTCTTTGAAAGTCTGTAACATTATTATGCAAAACTGACGTTATACGGGAAATAAAGAATCAAGTAATCACATACCATTTTTAATCAAACAAAATAATAAAAAAAATTATTAATAAATTAAATATGAAAATATCAAAACAAAAAATTGTAACATTCCAAATAAAAAAGTGTAAGAAAGGAGTAGTATGTAGCATGATTCTCAAGAGATCCTTGAGAAGTAAAATATGTAAGCTATTCTGATACTTTACATTGATTACATCAAAGACAGACTAAACATCAGCATTCTTGAATACAATATATTGATGAAACTATTACCAATAAATGGTCACAGAATGTAAACAAATCAACTTATTATGAGGTAGAAGAGATCAATAAATTCAATAAATTTGGTCAAACTATTAGGTAAGTCCTTTCTAAGTTATTTTGACAAATAAAGGAATGATACAGTGACATGTCTTATTTATTAAATCTACTTATTCTTTGTTGCAAAACAAGGATTCCAAGTCACATGAAAATAAATGAAATAGTAAGTGTTGGCGCAAAAAGCAAAATACTACTACATGAGAAGGTAAAACTTCAGTTTCAGTTGACTTAATTGTGTGTAGTAATTAATTTTAGTGAATGTAATTGTGGGTAGTAATATTTTCCTCATAAGGTATAATGAGAAATAAAATAAAAGTAAGCCTTATTTTATATTCTTATTTAGACAACATTTTTCATTTTTTTGCAGCAAGTTTCTAGAGTTCTCTCGTGCCTGTTTTTCCAGTTGGTTAATGAGTCACACTATCACCATTGTCATCAGAAGGGGGCAAGTTGGAGCAACTTGCTGCAGCGGCTGAGTTAATTGAGGCATTCGATTTTTTTTCCAAAAATTATACAAAATGTATTTACTACTAATACAAATTATAAGTTATTTCTGTTGCAAGGAGAGGTGAATTCTGTCTATGTATGGAGGGAGTGGGGAGAAACATGTGTGAAACAACAGGCAACCCTGGATCTACTAGCCCAGGCATTTTGTTTCCCCTGGGCATCCCTGCCTAACATCCTTCAATTCTTTCACCATCACACGTAAAGCCCTTCTATCTTGGATAATTAAATTGTTTAAAAGTGCTTCTATTGTTACCTTTGTATACATCATGTAAATGATTTATCTTCTGTAAATACATTCATTAATTACATTCCCTATGGATGTAATTAATGGATAACACAATATTTACATTCACACATGTATTGCAGAATACATTGTATTGCGTTGCATTTTCTGGATGCTTGAACATACATGACAAAAATAATGTGCCAAGTACAGCCTACAGAATTCCACAGATAAGATTTCATGGCACTTGTAATAACATGTGCTGTGGTTGAAAGGAAAGGTGTTGACGGGGTTTACTTTTTCTTTTATTTCCTTGGACCTCATTTATTGTATATGTTCTCCCTAATTTTTATATTATTAATTCATTTATTTTTTGTTACTTTAACTACAAGCTCATTAGCGACATCTTAAATAGTAAACAATTTTTTACAATACAATACTGTACAATAAATTGAAAATTTTAGAGGTTTTTTATGATCAGTTTTTACAAATTTTATTTCATTACTAAGCTGCTCTTGTAGCATACTTTTCTTTGTGTTTTAGTAATACATGTATAACATATTTACAGTTTACATTTACATTTCATAAAAAATTAAGTTTTTTTTTTTTTTTAGAAAATTATCTTCAATATTTTGAATTACCATTGACATTTTGGGGTTATTTCCTTTACTTCAGAATCATAAGTTATGAAATTTGTTTGTTCTGAATAGTTTTGTACTCCATGGAATTCGATGCGGCATGTTTCTGATCCTTATCTTCATTTTTCATTTAACATGTGATCCCTATTACATAGAGGATAGGGAAGGGAGGGGGTAATTTAGTGTCATGTAATGTTGATTTTTTTAATATATTTTCAACATTTGCTTAAATAATTCCTTTTATTCAGTCACAAACTAAAATGTTAGATTATTAACAAACTCAATTTAAAAAATATAAATTAAAGAAATTATGATGTAATTGACACTATAAACAAAATTTTTTTTTCATCAATGATGTATTAATTAGAATTTGAAAAATTGTGAAAAGAATATTCAAAGCTAATCTATGATATATTCTGGAATCCAATTAAATTGGCAGTCTTTCCCCCATGCATCATCCACAATGGCAGTAGCATGGCTTGTTGGCAGACATGGTCTTAATTATGCTTCCTTCCTTCCTTCACTCAAAAATTTTCTCCAATTTAATTTTAAGGTGCAATCAGGATAACAAAATTATTCTAACTTCAATTATCATAAGTTTTAATATACAACCCAAATAAAATTAATACAACTGATAGTTACTGCTTTATAATTTATTTTTACTTACGGTAAATGTAGAGTGGAGTTGTCACAAAGGTTATATAATTAATTAGGGATTTTCAAGCGCAGTTTACACAGGAAGAGGGGGTATTGAAAATTCTACAAATTTGCATTACACAATTTTCAGATTGCTTCTTATTGTTAAACTTGTAATATCTTGCATCAAACTCTTGAATAAGCGTTTTTACGTTTTTCTATCTTTTCCGAGTGTATAAATTGTACTTTGATTCGTCATTTCTTAGTTCATTGATACCGATTATAGTTTTGATTGATTAACCACATTTATTGCATAGTGGGCATGAACACTTCCAACATTTCTCTATTTTTGTAGCACTTCAGAGTATTGTTTTCAATACTTAGGTTACTTGTGAGGTTATATTTGGAGAGCATGAAATTATAAGTTTTAATTTGCACTGGAAAGATTGAAGTCTTAATATAATTGACCAATACATTGATTATGGATATGCTGCAAGAATTATTCACAAAACAAAAATACACAAGAAATTTTCTATTTATAGTAATCACACCTAAATATTGCAATATGTACTAGAAGATTCAACTTTTATACAGAACTTAGTAACATATTTCTATTCATTTTAAGTGTATAGCAAGGGTTATTGGAGTTCATTCATAGGACTCCAAACCTAGTTTAAGAATGATGATCTCAATATAATACAAGTAATTTTTTTTGTGTGTGGGGGGGCTAATACACTTGCATATTCTCTTAGAAATATAAGTATTCCATTAGCTCATATTGAATTTGGTTATCTGGTTTAGAGTTATGTTGAATAGAGCTTTGTTATACAATTTACTAAATGAGAGATTTAGACCATATCGATTTTGTTTTTGTTACTTCTGTGAAAGTGTTATACGAGTGACACATAAATCATTTTACTGATGTCTACTATAGAAACTATACATATTTTTTTTTAATACATATATTTCCTTGCAAGGCAAATTAAGTTGTGGAATGAGACCTTTGGTAATGTTTGCAGCTTTGTTGATTTTCTTTATTATTGTGTGATGAAACCATCCAAAGTTTTTTGACCAACAAAAGCTGCTTTTAAGAGAGAGAATAAGAAATAGCACTACGGTACATGGATATGTGAATGGAATGAAAAGGGACAGAAAATCGAAGCAGATGCTTGCGACGAGACCAGAGGGGAAAACACTTTGTGGAAGACCCAGGGGAACATGGAAAGGCAATATAGTAGATGTCTGTCATAGGAATGGATTAACAAGAATGGAAGTAAAACACAAGCTCAAAATAAGGAGGAATATGTCAATTGGCTATTCCGAAGCTGAAAGACACAAAAGGAAAGAAGAAAAAGAATGTCAATTAAATTAAAAATATATTAACTGAATTAAATTAAATTACAATAGACAAAATTTATGTTAAAATGGCAAATCTGTTGTACTGACATAGCTGTTATAGCAGTACTTTAGTAACAGCTTGAAAAGTCCGATATTTGATTCCCACCTTGAACATGGATGTATGTGTGATTGTCCATGTGTATATGCTAAGAGCACCAGTTTAAACAAGTAAGCTAGAACAATTTCAGTAATGTAAACAAGTTTCTATAAACTATTTGGGCCCATCGATAACTTCCAAATTGATGTCAAGACCTTAGGATGGTTCAGCTTAAAGTCATATTCTACTGGACAATGCTACGCAGAATTATTTCCTTCTTGTGAAAGAAACAATAAACTGCCAATTTCACATAATATGTAGTAGTCATAAATATGTAGTCAATGCTTGTTCCTTAATGTCAATACTGGATTTTTTTATTTACTTGAAATCAAGATTTGATATGAACTGATTTTATAAGTAGAACATCTCTTCAACAACTAGATCATGTTAATATTTATTATTTAAACATTATCATAACAATATTAAAACTCTGAAGAGGGGAGGAAAAAATACGAACCCTGTGTATACACATCTGCAACATGTGATGTGAACGTCAAGTACTTTTTTATATATCCTTTATAAAAGATGGTATTATAAATAATATTAATAATTGGATCAAGCTAAACTTCGCATTTCACACTTTGCAAATGGAAAATTAAAATCTCAATCAATATTCCAGGGATTAAGTAATTATTTACATAACGAAATGTTCAATGTATTGTTATATACAATAACATGCATTCAATAACATTTTTTATGAGGGACTTAAAAGCAAAGCAACTTTGTAATTTAATGTATAACAATGCATACTCTGAACAAAATTTATATCGGTCATCATCTCTGCAGCGTACAGGTTACACATTTTAAACAACTATGGAAGTCAACTACACTATCAGTTCCATGAAATATTCACTGCTTTTTTTCCATTTTTATTTTGCAACATTAATTACAGAGATAATACACAAAAACAATCTTAAATATTGACAACACTTTACACATCAAACCATTTATAAACACATTAAATGAAATACAGAATTTTTGCAATGAAATAACAATAACACATTATAACATCAAAAACAATTTTTACAAAACACAATTATCACTTTTTCATCATCCGTGACAAAGGGCGACGTTTGCTGATGTTCAAATATTCAGTGGAACGAACAGGTCTTCGGCTACATTTCCATTGCACAGGAAATGACGAATTGGAATTAGGATCAGGATCAGGATCAGACCGTGAACAAGAATGTGTCATTTTCATCCTCTTTGCACAATTTTCATCATTTTCTTCTTCTTCTATAGTATCTCTTTTTGTTCCCCATGATTGCATTACAAGCTCTTTAGCCTTACCCCACGAGTATGATAGTGCAGTTTTAAGTTTCATCAAACCCCAATCTTCATCAATATTACTTCCATTACTTAGTTGTTCATCAGAGGAATCATGGCCATCTGTGCAAGGTGAACTTGTAGCTTTATCATCATGATCGTGAGACGAGACATCTGAGTCTTCGTCACTTGCTCGCTCATCTATCTGTAATTCATTCTCTATAAATTGTGGTTCACTATCATTACTGTCATTAGACTCAATTTGTTCTTGTAATTTTGAAGTTTTTGTAAATGTTTGTCCTGTTGAAAACTGACTTGAGTCAATGTCTAGGGAGTCCTGAAAGGAAAGACTTGCAGCTTTATGAACTCTAGGCTCTGTGTTTCCATCTCTGAATGCTTTAAAATAATCATCAATGGAGCCAAAAGATTCATTTTCATGTAAGTTAGTCTCATTTCTGGATTCTTCTTCTGAATAAAAATTTAACTGGCTCGAGTTTTCCCCAGATTCATCCAAACTGTTATTTTGAGAATCCATTTCTTCATGATTATCTAACATTCCTTCTTTTTCTTTCGTTGAAATTTCAATTGTTTTATCCTCTATTCTATCTTCGTAACTCATTTTCGAATTTATAGACACTTCAAGTTCTTCATGCCCATCATTCTCCAGTTTACATTCTGCATCCTCTAGTTCTTTTCCTTCATGCTCATTCACTGTCTTGTTACTTTTGTCAATTAATTCCATTCCATCTAAACTTCCCGAACTTTCATCAGTCTCTTTGAATTGCTTTTCATTTCCTTTCAGAACTATATTGGTTTTATTTTCGACATCTGATTTGTCATCACAATTATTTTGGCCAACATTTTTGCTCAAAAATTGCTTATCTTCATTTTTAAAAGCAAATTTTTCAATTTTTTCTTCTTGCTTATATTGATTTTTCTCAGCCAAATAGTCTTTATTTTCTCCTAGTTTCTTGTGAATGCTATTCTTATAGTCATGAACTTCTTTCTCATTGCCTATCTGATCATCATTGCTGTTTGCTTTAATGCTAGAGTTATTTGTGGTTTCCACAATACAAGAGAAAGTAACCTTTCGAACACTCTCACCTTTTGGCTTCTGATCATTTTTCACAGCAAGAATACTGTGAGGGGCATTTGAAGTTTTAGAACCAATAGGTGTTTGTTCTGTTGCTGCAGATGAAATGTCTTTATCTGAGGTACCACTGGGCTCACACCCATCCTGTGGGGTCGAGGTACTAATTGGTTTCATTCTTCCTAGAGAGCGTGAAGAATTCTCTCTAGGAGTAAATGGTTGCGGGTGAGTAAGTTGGTTATTACCTGAAACGTTTGCCGAGACAAAGGAGAGAGAACGATCTGCCGTTTTTTTCTCCGTTTCTTCAAATACAAGCGAGATTTTTCGGTCTCTACTTTTTTCCGAGTACTTTTTGAACGAGATTATCCAATGACTTTCCTGGGGGGCAAAATCGAATTAATTAAGGTATTTCAAGCCTGAAGACCTGACAACAAGCCTTTTAATTCGTTTCAACTTCCTTACCTTCAATGAGCATCGGGGTCCAATGGTCATCAAATGACGTAATTCATGTTCATTTCTAACAGTTATTTTACAATAAATACAAAATAAAGGAAAATTTATTTTCCTTCTGGAAAGCAGAATGTGTTCGGTTGCTTCCACCCATCCGCTGAAATGAAAGAAACAAGTATGATGAAGTTTCCTCTTTGTCAGTTAAAATTGATGTGCAAAGTAATATCTCAGGTTTTACCACTATTCTGATTTTATACCATCACAATTCTCTCACTCCTTGCTGATCCAATCGACCGTACCATCACAAATTTTCAACACTTTTTTGTTTAAACTTCGTTAGAAGAGATCATCTTGTTCCTTCACTTGAACGCACAATTGGTTCAATAAACTACGTTATTCATTAAAATAAAAAAGAAATAATAAAATCATATTGTACCTAAGATCTGACGAGCATTTACTTTCTTCGTTAACTGTTGGTCTCTTTCCTGTTGCAATTACGTGACGATTCTCGTGTTCCACCAAGTGCTCCAAGCAGCAGCACAGACAATCGCAGAATCGACAACGTGCCTAATACAACAAAAAATCAAATATTATTTTTATGTAATGAAGTCCAAAATATTAAGTTGTCAACACTGCCGGGCCTGCATCTTCGGCAATATTCTGCAACGCTCTTTGAAGTTCAAGCTTTGAAAAATGTTCAGTTAAGCCAAGGGTTGTTGATTTGTCGAGTGGATTATGTTGATTTAGGTCTTTCTAATATCAGAAAAAAATTTTGCAGTAGAGTGACAAGTACAGTTGCCCCTCATGAACAAGGATTCCAGGTAAGGTTTTTAGTTTGTTTCGGAGTTTGTATGAAATGGCTACGGAAACATGCGATTTTTTTAAATATATTATGTATTAGTACGACATTTGCAAATACCTAATTTGATTTTTTTTCCTTTATCAAACTTAGTACTCTTAATTCCATACGATACGCAAACATTATCGTAGTCTTTGTATCTTGAAAAAGAGAGAAAATATAATTTCTTTGCTTTTTGCAGTTGCAAAACGCCGGTTGTATGAGGCAGCCACTTAATTGCCAGCTTTTAAAATATCATGTGAAAAATCAAATGTTTTCCATTTATGCCAAGTATGAGAAAGCTTCTACGATCCCTATCGAAATGTCACAGAAATTGATAAAACTGTTTTATTTAACAAGTTTAAACTTTACTGAGCATTTCTACATTATCACAGACGTACGGAAAACTTAAAATTGATAATCTTCAATTTTAATTACAATACCTTTTTCAGAATGTTAGGAGATTGGCTTTTGAAACGTATATTCAAATTCGAACGTGTATCACAAAGTGCATTCAAATAAAAAAGGTTGTAATTATTACCGTTATATTTTTGTTACCATCTCTGAACATTCTTGCATACATTGAAATTTCAGATGTTAATTTATTTCAACCGTTGAATATAAAATACTACTGCTAGACATTTGATATGTAGCTTGCTTTGCAGTTACTGCTAGAAAAATAAAGCTTAGATCAACAATTTCTGCTGGAACGAGACACAATTAAGATAGCAGGGCAGTCGTAAAAAATGTTCACATGTTTCATCAACAGTATGCGCATCACGTAATATTTACTCACATTTTTGTTTACATTTAACTTCAAAATTAGGTATTTTAATGAACGTGCGAGAAGATGGGAGTGTGCAGCTTACCAGTTTGTCCATCACATCCTTGTGTCGAATCGGTGCTACTGGATATTCGCAACGGTACTGTATTTCTTTCCGGGAGACCATTTCCATGCAATTACTTAATTGATTGCAAATAATATGTTTGTATATCCAATCCAATAAATTTAGTGTGATGTGGCTCAATATCTGTAGGCCCACTTCGTTAAGTAAAAGCAACACTGCACGTTCATAGTTTTAGTCGATTTAGTAGTAACGTACAAGCATTGCTTCAATATCATTCCGCATTTTTCAATGTTGCATGATTGGATGAAAACTGTTGTAATAACAAAGTAGTTACTAAATCAGTCCTTAAAAATTTAAAAAAAATTCTAAAATATATTGCAATTAAATAATTAAACATGGGCTAATACAAGACTTGGAGAATTAATATCTGGCAGCCCTTAGGCTGAGAGTTGGTTATGCGTACGAGTTCCCTTTCCATAATAATCTATTTATTAGTATTTATTTCTAACTTCCCTCATTTTAATATATTTATTACTCGAATTTCACTGCCATTTTTTTACAATATCAAATATTTCTTACATTCATTTTACATTATTTGTGACATTTTCTCTGCATTCAATGTGCTTGGAGTATAGTACCTAGTAGAACACATGATAAGTAATTTCGGTAAACCATCTCTCCTACATATACTTTAGATACCTCGTTCATTACCTGCAATACTGGCACAAAACATTACTCGAACTAATTGTGTTACAATAGCACACACGTTCTCTAATAATAGTAACTGCTAAGGTTGCAACTTGTATTCTACTAATTCTTCAGCCATCTCTTAAAAAATCGAACTAAAGCGGGCACTTGGTGAATTCCGTTCACCTGACCGGCCTTTTGCTTTTTCATTCCTGGACAATTCAACAATACTCTGCGCCGCAACTAGTATATTTCTATCAACGTTTACTCAAGTCCGCAGTGTTGGTTTGTATTCGAAGATTCGATTCAGCTTTCAATCTTTATTTTTTGAAAGACTGCTCTATGTGAACACAATTCACCATGCGCGTCATGCTAGTAAAATCTTTAGGTGATACTACTTTTTATTCTCGTATATTTTTACATATTGACAGTTTTTAGACATTTAAACATTTTAGGTTTAAATAGGATAAATACATGAAGAGAGTCGGATAAATATGTGAAGGGAGAATTTTATTTCTATTGTCTCTTCTGTAAGTTAACAATATTTTTGTATTTGAATTTTGAGCAAATGATATACAGTATAACAAACAAAATGACAGAAATAAATCACTATTATGACGCTTTTTATAGGTTTCATAAGTTTAAAGTGTTTTTTCCCCTGCGGTTTGTAAATATATTGAGTTAATGTAGGTTAATTGAAAGGTGGTGATTCTTGTGCTCGTACAATATCTGCTGGTATATTTGGCTTCTCTTGGTGATGAGGTCATCCAGTTGAATTATGTCGAGGTCTCTGTAGTTTTGTTTGTCACGAACCATGGAGCATTGCAAAGACTTCTTATAGTTTTAGGTTCAAATCTTCGAAGAATATCCAGTGTAGTTACTAATTCTCGGCGATATTGAATTAATCCATTTGCGTTCCAGAGTATAATATAATATATCAGCTCCATTAGTTCATTTTGGATATTTTTATCATTAACATATTTAGCAGCGTTTCTATTTGTTCGGATTGTTGTTTTAGGACTTTTTAAAATTTTCGGAAGAATTTTTCAGATATTTTGCTCAGGTTTATTAGGGATGGGCTGAAAAGTGAATTATATGGGGGGTCTTTGTGACGGATTACTGGATATGTAGGAGGTTGGCAGTAAATTATATTTTATCTGTGAATGGATGGTTTAGATAATTTTATGAGTTGAAAAAATGTATTATTTCAGGGGAAGGAGAAGGGAGGGGAGAAAGTTCTCTGCCAACAGGGTCCTTCTGGTGGTTTTTAATTGTGGGGATATTTCTTTCTTTTCTATTTCGTTTATTTGCATCATTCTGGTGTACTTGATTAGCCCTTGGAAGTGGCTGGATGGTTCCGTGAGCACAGCGCACATGTAATTGGCTGTGAGTTATATCTCCGACATTTATTTTTTAAATGTTAGTCCCCACATTTTACGCCCCTAGGCGTTGCCTTGCAGTATTTCCTCTTATGGCCGCATTCTTGACAGGATAGTATTGAACTGGTGCTTTCTTTTTATATGGTGGTTAAATTTGATGATTGCATTAAAAAATTTATCAATTTTGTAAATTTCTTTGTTGTTTTCACGTGGTTCTAAATCTATAAAGTACACAGAGGGAGGCTTCTTGGTTACCCCATGTCGCATATTATGTACATTATTAATACATTATTAATGTGTAAATTATTAATATTTGGCCCCGAATATTGGTGGTATACTCACATTTGGAGAGAAAATTCGCTGCAAAAAGAATGTTGCATATATTGTGAACGAATGGAAAATCAAGTGACGAGAATAAATTGTAATGATGTCCTGATTTTGTATATAAACAACATTCACTTAATGCAGTAATATGTAAAGTATGAAAATTACGATGTAATCTACCGAGAAGAGTGTTAGTAATGCCTCAGTATCATTTCATGTGATGTTTCACTTCACGATTGTTTTTGTACTGAGATTTTGTTGTATTATATTTTGTAAATATTCATTATTGTTTTATTGGTTTTATTAGATTTAACGACAGTAATATTTACTATGGTAAAAATCAAAACCTATTTTAACATTATTTGTTCTACCTATGAACCGAAACCTGGAAATAACATGACGGTGAACGGAATTCACCATGTGCCCGGTAACGTAAGTGAAATAAGCATCCCTGCTCTAGGTTAAAAACCAAACATGAGGGGTTTGGACGATTAATTCTTGATATACCATTAATATTGGAACCTAACAAAATAATAAATTAATATTTCGAAAAAAAGTGAATGATTTAAAGATCTACTATAGCAGAATATTATAAACACAGAAAGAATTATGAAAGAAAACTATAGTTTCAGTACTTAAGTTGTTGCACAGTTTTGAAATACTTGGAAGGTAACGAAATTTTAAATTGTTTGTTATTTAAGAAATTTCAGACACACTTGTGCGATGTTAAGCGAAAGTTAAAAAATGCTAAGAAAAATAGAAGCCCCCCTTTTTGGAAATGCCGTGTTTAAATCTGAAACTACTACAACTAGCCCCCAAAATTACATTTTAAATTAGCAGGGCACATTATTCGGCTAGATTGATCGGGGAATTTCCATTTTCGAGGAAATGGTGTGAACGGTTTTGGTGATTGTGTTTTCCACAGTCAGAACAGTCAAAATCTAAATTAAAGCGATTTCGTTGTTTCTTTACAAATTGAACTGTCAGGACTCTGAAGTCAATCAAATTGTCACTCTTATCCCTTAACCTATCCTCGATGACGATTTGACTCCTGTTGCGGAAAACGGCAGAGTCCGTCCGAACGAGGACATCTCGAACTCTACGCGCAAGTTTTTTGTTGATATTCGAGCTGCTTCGTGCCGAATAGCACAGCGACTTGAAAAAACTTCCTAGGTCACGCACATCTCGGAACGGCACGTGGCAATTTAAAATACTGCCACCATCCATTTCTACCTTCAAATAATCGTAACATTTCTGTGACGATGTGTTGATTAGTGGTTTGTGTGTGTATTGCTCCCATAATTTACGTTTTTGGCTTTTGCTTTGGTTCAACGCTTAAGATTTACTGTTGATTTACTTATTGTTTCTTTTCATTACACGACTAGGGCTTATTTATCTGACGTTTTGGAGATTTTTATTGAACTCTGTTAATTTAATAATTTTGGAAAATGCATGTACAGTCTAGCTACTTGCAGAGGCAGTCTCAGGGCTCTCTCGGGAATCGTCGAGAACGCTACCACCTTGACATAACATCCATACTCTTCGTAGTGGAGAGAGAACAATAATAGCTAGAGTTGGAAGGTTGAAAATGCGAGAAAGGAAATGTAATGCTCCTTGCTCCTTTTGAACGAGCAATGAAAAGAGGGTGGGTATATATACACACACGTGTGCAACTATAGTATCATTAAATAAATGTCTGAACAGTTACCTGACACTCCAGCCAAAAATACATCAATATTGTCCTTTTTACTAAATATAAATATATGGCACATTCGTCTTTGGAAATATTTACTATTTGTTGTTTTTTGACATGGGTAAGTGCATTAAATATTATTTCTCATCAGAACAAGAAAACACGGAAAAACTCATACTGAATGATTTTGACAAAATAGTAATTAAGTGCACAATTCATGGGTTCTGAAGCGTGGAGAAGGTCGTGCCCGCGATGAAGAAAGTTGCCAATATTATAGAAAGATTTTTCCTTTATGAAATCTGTTCTTCAGAATCACATCTCTAAATTACGTCATGTGCAGTTTTTCAAAAATGTGACAGGTTTAGCGTAATTTTGCGTGAAATATAGGCCATTTTTAAACATTTATTTTTTCAAAAACGGCTCCAAATATTTTCTTTAAATGTTTTGTCTCGTATAGAGAATTAGATGCTTAAAAAATTGCCCAGTTCCCATTGTCAGCGAACAGTGTATTCTAGAAAATTGCAAAAAATTCACATTGCAAAAATACAATATTGATGTCACACATTCAAGAATGAAATATGTTCTAAAAAATTAATTCGAAATCAGATCATGTTCAATTTTTGAAGAAAGAAAGGGTCATTTTTGCGTGTATTTTGCTTGAAGTAAAAGCAATTTATACACAAAATTCTCAAAAAAGTCTCCAATTTTTCTTTAATTAAATGGATTTTTAATTATTATAAATTATGTAGTACTTTTGCACACAACACCACGTGTCAGACTGTGAATGCTTTTCTTCTACTACTTGCTCTGAATGGGAAGCAGAGAAATAATCACTTGCTACACTTCACCGAGACATCTCGCACGCAAATATAATGCAGGTTCTACACTTGAGTGAGATAGCAAGCTCGCGGAGATGTTGTCAGGGTCGATTTTTACACCACTCAACTAGGAGGTCGTCCCGTCGCAACACGAGTGTGGAAAGGGTCTCGCTCACACAAAACCGGCGAGTTTATTACTCCGATTTGAAGATAGTGTTCCTTCAAGGTCCCAAGCTGGAAGGAGAGGGGGGACACTAATTCAATCGCGAGCTTCTGTACCAAAACTAACGGTCGTAACGAAGCTCCCGAAATGATTACTAGTAGTACAGTGCCCCATCTTCTTCCAGCTCGTGACCTTAAAAGGACTAAATCGGATTACAAGGAATGGACTGGCTCGGCAACTTCGCGT